CATAGAACATTTTCATATGATTCACATTCACATATACTTGTATTCAAATAGTTCATAATCCCATAACCTATATTCTTTTTCACATGATCACATAGGCATAATATCTCATATATTCACTTAGATCATCACATATACCTTTTCTCATATATCTCATATCATGTCTCATGTAACCACATATATCTTATCTTATAACATATATCATATATGAACACAATCACTTATCTTATATCATATAGTTTATGTTTTGTTCTCTTATGTTCACATAACATATAATGCATACAAGTCATTTTTCACATAGTACCAATCCTAATCATTAATCTACTCATGCAATCATATATTCCAAATGTAGGAAACAGACTTGTCACAAGTCTAATTTCCATCAGATCATATTTCTTACTATTATACACTCACCTTAGCCTCACTAGTCCAAGTCATGTACTTATCTCTTTCTTGCTCGATCTTATCCCGTTAACTCATCAGATACTTGCTTTCGATCGATATCTACACAATTATATGCCTTATATTAATATCGGAGTTCGAATCGCTTATAACCCATCAATATAACTTAAGCTAAAAAGAACACTTGAATTTAACATTTAAGGTTAAATAGTATTGGTACTCCCACTATAGTACCGATACTACTCTTCTATGGTATTGATACCCCCTCATGGTACCGATACCATTTTGACATTCTGTAATTTTAACTCGGTAATGGTATCGATATTAGACACTTAGTATCGATACCCCTGTAAACAATACTGATATCATTCTTTAAGTATCGATACCTCTTAAAGATTTCATCTGATTTTTCCTTATGGTATCGATACTGCTCCTTCAGTATCGATACCCCAAGTTCAAATCTACTCATTTTTCTTTAGAATTATCGGTACTGGATGAACAGTATCGATACCCCTTGCCCAAAACTTATTCATTTTAACCAGAAAAGTTACCAAACTTACTTAAACCTTCCATTTTAAACTCCTTTCATGCCGTTAAACTCAACTATCATTATTTCAATCATCTTATATCCATTCAACACTTCATCATCCTCAATATCTTAACATAAATCTTGAAACCAAGAATCTCACTATATTTTCAACATGTTTTAATTTCAATTCTATCACTTAATACTTCTTAGACTAACTGATGACAAGTCAATTTTTCCCTCAAACTTCATTTACTAACTCTTTTCAACCATTTCACTTAAACAACTCTTATATTAAATCCTTCTTAATTCTCTCATCTTTTGGTTTTAAGACAACTTAAGCTTTCCTTAAGCTTAAGTATTACCCAAAGAACATAAACCAATCTTAATTGCAACAATTAATCAACTAATATGAAACTCACTTTTCCAAATGAAGTTCACGGCTGAAAGAGGAAGAAAATTGTAGAGTTCTCTGGAATGCTTGATTTTTCCCCACTTACAAACTCCACATGTTTATTTAATACACTGCCAATGAATTTTAAATGCATTCATTGCTAAATGGCTATTATGCCCTTTAAATTTCAAAATTTTGCTACTAAATTCAACACCAAGATTTTCTAATTAAGTCCCTAAACTTTTAATTTCTCCCAAATTGATCATCAAATTTTAAAAATTTTTGTTTTAGTCACTAACCCGGTCTTTGGGATGTTACAAATGAGCTAGGGAGCTCAGTGTGTCCCAATAATGCAAATAAAGCGTCGTATATAAGTATTTAAATAATGATTTAGTAATATAACATAAGGTAATCAATGAGATTTATAGTTTAAAATTCATATCTACCCTCATCCGGTACACCGAAATGCAGTCCCCTAATACTGAATCTATAAGGACTTACCCTATACCCATTGGGTATAAGAGCCAACCTAAGGGAACACCTTGGGCCATAAGGTCTTACTCTAGCCAAAGCATAGGAGCCCACCTGGGGGTAGTACCCCCAAGCCATATGGTAAACCCCAATGTAAAAACTAGATGAGCCACCCTAAGGAAGTACCTTAGGGTCTATAAGGTCTTACCCTAGGCCCAGTGGGCCTAGGCGCCCACCCAAGGGTTGCATTAGATCTATAAGAATTTACCATCTTTATCAGAGTTGCACCTTAAAGACTCTAGGTAACATTCCATAAGTATCTCAATATAGCAGCGCATAAAGTACAGCAAAGACAATAAATTTTTAATTCAAACATAATCATATCTCAGTAAAACAAATAACATGAGAGCAGATATCAAACAAACATATTTATAATCAATAAAACATGAATAATAAATCAGGATTTAAAATCAGATAATTTATTCACAATTCAAAACAGGTAAAATAGCCATATAAAAACAATCATATAGCACACTGGGAACACACCTCGCAAAAATAGGGTCAGTCAGAGAGCCTATTGAGCACCTGGCTCGCCATGCTCTACAACAGTGCTCGAACCTAAATCCTAGTAAAACTGAGTTACTAACAAAGTAACATTTTAATCTAGGTATTCATAAAGTTCACGGGTCATACGAGTAACCACTGGCTCGTACGGTCGAATGGATCGAGAAAAGCTAGGTCAAGCTATCAAACTGTCAAGAGAGTCTCGAGTACCTTCAAACAACAATATCTTAGATCATTCATTAACCTTAATCTAATTATTCTTAAATAAAATACTTAATTACATATACATGCGGTTTAACAGTTAATTCGGAGGCTTTCAAGTTTGAATTTGACAAAACGAACTTCGAATTCGGACTCAGGACGTCAAAAAACATAAAAATATGTCTTTTCAAAAATTTTGACTCTTTGACCTATTCCATAAGACTCCTGGACCAGCGGAGGAGCCCCACGCGCACTACCTGCGCGTGGCGGTACGTGAGACGGTGGAAATGGGTTGGGTAAGTCAGTCAAGTACTCCATAAGCATCCAAACATAATTTACAACCAAGATTTAACCAAAAATCATTTCAAAATAACCGAAATACAATCGGAACTTACCTAAAATGGTTATCGATGAAAATGGCAATGACACTGTGACCTGCCGATTAGGTTTCGAGCATATAGAGATGGTGAGTCCAGTTACGATGGAGGTGAGGCGAGCCGATGACTGAGGCGATCAAAAATCATGAAAATCGAGGTGAAAGTGGTCTCAACGGTGCTTAGATGAGCTTCCCATGGTAATCGGCGATGAATTCTGGTGAGGGACTAGAGGGGATTTGGTCACCGGTCGATGGCGAGTCGAATGAGGGTGGTTGTGCACTCCAAAAGTGGTCGGACAGTGAGGAATCATTAAAAAAGTAGGCTAGGGATTAAGGTTGAGAAATTTAAGGATTTAGGGTTTTGGGTATTATAACTCGAGCCTTAAGCATTAAATAATGTACTTACTTAAAATATCACAAATAGTGACCTAGCTTAAATGGTAGGGTGATGGTTGGCCATGCCTGAGGATAGGGGTTTGAAACCCCTCAGCTACACACTTGAAATTTTTATTTTATTTTTCCACTGAACATAAAAAATGGTAAAATTCATGATTAAGTCCCTAAAATTCGTACATGTTCAAAACTAAGTTGCTAGCTTCTGAAACTTCCTACAGATGGCATGTGAGGACAGTACAGTTAAGGACAGGGGAGTAAGCGGTAACAAGACAAAAATAAGAGGGAAATCTTCGCTTTTTGAATTTTTTTCCTTTTTTGGGTTTTACTTTTGCATTTAATAATTTTGTCTCTTTCCTCAACTCACACCCCATCCACCCGTTAAATAACCCCCATTTTCCTATTTTTTATTTTTTTACTCTCTCACACGAACTTCATCTTTTTCTCTTCTTCTTTCCTCTTTCAAAACGCACGCCATAATCGAAAGCGTCCAACTTTTTCATCTTTCTTTCTTTCGACAAGAAAACGATGGTGCGCTCACGTCCTCCAAGCATGATTCATTCATCACTACCGCGTTTCATTGACAAAGCGGCGTAAGAACGGTTTCAATTGTTCAATAACTGTCGGGTTTTCTTTGAGCTAGGCTTCCTCTTCTCCAATGCTGAAGATGCCGACATTGGAGGAGATGTAATGGATATTGTTAACCAAAAAAAGTACATAAATTTGCTAGGGATCCAAGGAACGTGAATGCCTCTCTTGTGAAGGAATTTTATGCCAACATAATCGATCTTAACCAACATGTTATGGTGGTTCGAGGTATTTTTATTCGTTTTACCCCTTTAGGTATTAATTGTTACTTTAAATATCAAGATATTGTGGATAAGCACACCACGTTCGCCAAGGAGGTAGACAACGAGACTTAGCATGGCATTTTGGAGGACCTCTGCTTTTCAAATACAAAGAAGAATGGGTAGCAAGTGAGCTGACGATCAGTGGATCGTGAGAGGCTACAATCGAGGGCTAAGTTGTGGAACCACTTTATGAAGCATAAGCTCCTCCCCACTGCCCATAACACCACTATCTCATTGCATATAATGGTTCTGCTACACTCTATTTTCTTTGGGTGCTCCATTGACATAGGCAAGATAATCGTGGAACACGTTCACACTTGTTTGAAGCGACCTGCTAGTGCCCTGCTATTTCCAAATCTTATCACAGTACTCTACCGTAAAAGAGATGGATGATGACCAGTTTGATAAAATATTGCTTGGGATGATAGGTATTACAAAGGCCAAGCTGCCTATGTTACTAGGGTTCAAAGAAAACAAGGGTAAGGAAAAAGATGAGAGTATCTCCCGAACTGATACAAACCAAGATGAAATAGCGAAATTAGATGCTCTCGTGGAGGTATCCAAGTGGGCCCAAGATCAAGTGGCAAATCTTACCAGCAACCAGACGACCTTCTTATTTTTCCACTAACTAGAAAAAATGGGAAAATTCATGATTAAGTCCCTAAACTTCCTATAGGTTTAAAACTGGGTTGTAAGCTTCTGAAACTTATAATTTAATCCCAAAATTAACCAAATTAATTTTTAATTTTAAATGGGGGTGTGACAATTCTTCCCCCAAGAGAAATTTCATCCTAAAAAATTACCTGAAGCAAACAAATGCGGAAACTAAGTCTCCATTGATTCCTTTGTCTCCCAGGTGGTTTTTTCAAGACCACTGTTACTCCATTGAACCTTTACCATCAGGATACGCTTGCTCCTTAGCACTCTCTCATCTCGACCCAAAATCTGAACAAGCTCCTCATCATAGGATAAATATGGCATCAACTCAACATCATCTAATTGAATAAAGTGGCTAAGGTCTGGATGATAGAGCCTCAATATGGACACGTGAAAGACATCGTGAATACGGTTAAGCTGGTCAATATAAGACTTCTGCCTGTCAAATGCCTCTTTCAAGCGGTCACAGATCAATCTGATGGTGTCCTCATTCTCTCGTACTGAATCAGGTCCCAAAGTCTTTCTATCACGCAACTTAGTCCAATAGATCGAGGTACAACATCTATGCCCATAAAGTGCTTTGTACGGTGTCATACGAATGCTATCCTGATAGTTGTTATTGTAAGCAAACTCAGCCAATGGCAAAAAAATCCTCCCAACTACCACGAAAATCAATCACACAACCTCTCAACATATCCTCAAAAACCTGAATCACCCTATCAGATTGACCATCAGTATGCGGGTGGAAAGTTGTACTAAAATTCAATCTCATACTCATAGCCTCATATAGTACTTTCTAGAATCTCAAAGTAAATCTCGGATCTCGATTAGAAATGATAAATAGCGGTACACCATACAATATGATGATCTCATAGATATATAATCTAGCCATATTTTCCAAAGAATAATTTACACACACATGAATAAAATGAGTTGATTTTGTAAGTCTGTCAACTATCACCCAGATAGAATCTTTTTTCGAAGAAGTCAAAGGTAGACCAGTAACAAAATCCATAGTAATACGCTTACACTTCTATTTGGGAATCTTGATAGATTGTAATAGACCCGACGAATGCTTGTACTCTGCCTTAACTTGCTAATAGGTCAAGCATCTAACCACATAATCAGATATATCTTTCTTCATACCGATCCAACAGTATATGTCCCCCAGATTCCGATACATCTTATCTTCACTGGGGTGCATAGTATAAGGGCTACTGTGAGCCTCACTAAGGATATCATGTTGGAACTCTGCATCATCATGTACACAATATTGACCCTTAAAGCATAGAACTCCATCTTGGTCAAAAGCATAATCTGAGGTAGTACCCTGCTCAACTTGCTCAATAATGGCAAGTAACGAGCTATCAATAACCTGCTTGGCCTTGATCTCGTCGGCCAAGGTCGACTTAACCTATAATTCTACCAACAGAATGCTATCATCATATAATTTCATCCTGGAAAATAAAGACCTCAGATCAGCTATAGCCTTCGGCTCAGATCATCTACAACGATATTAATTTTACCCGGATGATAATCAATCTCGTAATCATAGTCCTTCGATAGCTCAAGCCAACAATGTTACCTCAGATTAAGTTCCTTCTAGGTCAAAAGATACTTCAAACTCTTGTGATTAGTAAGAATATAACACTTCACCCTGACAGGTTTTAATTACCTGTCAAGCATCGTTTCAAAAAATTTTACCAATCTAGCACTCTTTTCAGAAAGACGCAGATGATAATCCGCGCCTTACGCTGATGTGGCACCAGCTGGGGCGCGATAATTATGACACACGTCAGTAAGGCACAGATTACCATCCGCCTCTTTCATTTAATTATCAACCGTTCACACTCCCCCAATTAATTACCCTATCTGCCCAAACCCATCCCCAACCCTATAAATACCCCCTCATATATTCATTCAAACACACCAAATCCTTTCAAATGCTCTCAAATCCTCTCAAACCATATCAAAGCCCAAACCCTCTTAAAGCTCAAACCCGGTCAAATTCTATTTAGAAGGTAATATATTCTTCTTTTATATAATAAATTAATATTTTAGTATTTTATTAAATTGTATTATATTAATTATTTATTATTTTTTACAATTATAAAATGGAAGGTTGTCTGCTTCGTTTAGATAGACATCATATCTCAAGGCATTTTACTGACACGGTAATATTTTTAAATTATTTTTTAATTTTAATTATTGGTAATATTTTGTTTAATTATTTATTTAGTTTAATTTATATATTAATTTTTATAATATTTATTAAATTAGGAGAGAGATAGTATATTAGATCCCTTTATCTGTAATCTTAAGTTAGAGATACCAACCTCTGTATGGTCGTATTTAGTCGAGGCTGGATTCGGTTACGTAGCTAGATACAAAGGGCACTATAACGTAGAATCCAACCTGATTTCTGCATTGGTCGAGCGGTGGAGACTAGAGACACACATATTCCATATTCCGTGCGGAGAGTGCACGATTACGCTGGAGGATGTTTCCATGCACTTGGGGCTTTCGGTAGATGGAGATATACTTTCTGGTGTGGCACACGGTGGCTGGAATTCATTATGCCAGGAGTATCTTGGAGGTGTCCCGCCTAATTTTAAAGGTAGTCGGATTCCGTTAAATTGGTTGGATGCAACTTTCAAGCGTTTGAGTTGCAACGCCTCGGAGGAGCAGGTAAAAATGTATGCACTGGCATGCATACTATAGCTGATAGGAGGGCTCCTGATGCCAGACAAATCGCACAACCAAGTTAACTATATGTGGTTACGGCATCTCGCCAATTTTTATTTGGCTGCACACTGAGTTGGGGCTCGGCAGTTTTGGCATCCCTCTATAGGAAAATGTGTCAAGCTACTGACTATAGGAAAAATGCTATCGGTAGATGTCTCCTTCTGCTACAGTCTTGGGTGTGGTATCGCATACCCTTTTTATGTCCGGTTGTGAAGAACTCATTGGTCTTCCCGCTATTATTGAGGTAATTACAATACTAATTTCATATATTAATCATTATATCTAGTATATAATAAAAATTATTTCATTGAATAGGTGTTTTACTGCAAGGAAAGATCATCAAGATTTACCTGATGAATTAGAATCAATTAGGCTACTCATTTATCAGAAGGCTGACACAGAGGTATGTATTTAAATAACAAAATCTATTTTTAATTATTGTTATATAATTATAATATTATTTGATAAGAATTATATATATTTGTTTTAGTTTGAATGTGCTCCTTATTGTACTGAAGATATGAGGATTTGTATCCCACACGACTTAAGGGGCCCATTAGATGTTTGGATGGTGGTGGTCCCTATGATATGTTATGCGATTGTCGAGTGGCATCCTACTGATCGCGTGCTCCGACAATTTAGATTTGTACAATCAATTCTGGAAGCACTTCAAAGTCTCGACGATTTGCATAGCACCGATCGACGTGGGCATATTCCCCGTAGAGAACCCATTTATATATACCATTTGACGGTTGCAGATGGTTATTACGGTGGTTCAACAGGAACGGGAAACTTTTCCTACTTTATGAGAAAACATGAGGCGGGTGCATTCATTGACATTGATAGAGACCGATGCAGGTAGCCCGATCCGATCCAGGAAGTCACATTAGGGCCACCGGAGCGACCCACTGTAAAAATAGCGGAAAATTTAAATCTTTTTATCCGAAACATGTAACTTATAAAATCAGTTGTCACTATTTAAAAATAAAACAGATTTCCAGACTCGTATATAAATCAAATATAATTACATGCCCCCTAATCACATGTACCATACTCTGCAACAACACCGGAAGAACTCCCTTACCGAAGTCGATAGATGCACTGGTACAATTCTTTTAACCTGAAAATGTGAGTAATAGAGTGAGCTTTGGAAAGCTCAGTAATACAGAACTACCAGATGATGCTGAAAAACGTGTAGATACAGATAAACATATTTTCCTTATTGGTTCAGATATTTACAGATTTTTATGTTGAGCAGAGATCCTACTGATATTTCAGGTGGTAACGGACAATGAGCTTTTGTTTCAGAGAAATATTTCGGATGACTGAGTTCAGGAGATCAGAATAGGTTTTCTAGTGTGTTCCCAAAAAACCATGTAACTTTTCAGATCTTTTTAAAACATATATATATATATACCCCCATCCGTCACGAACAAAATGTATAGGTTCCCCAGAACCATACAACCCCGTCACTAACAGTAAGGCCCTGAGCACACAGCCGAGGAACCGGTAAGTAAGGCCCTGAGCACACAGCCGAGGAACCTCCAAGTAATCTTCCTCCAACAATACCCCCCAATAAAACATGTTCCGTCCGTAAACGGATATATCAAAAATCAAAACATAATTCAAGTCAAGTATCATATCAGAATCCAGGTCATGTATCAGATCAGAATCCATGTCAATATCAGATCAGAATCCAGGTCAGGATCATAACATAATTCAAGTCGGAAATCAGATAAAATATTTATATGATTAGGGAACACACCAGAGTTTACAGATATTATTCAGAGGTATTGGATAATCTTAACAGGTAGAGAAACATGAATATTCAGTATACCGATAGGATATCAGAATTTAGAATCACTATTTGAAAGAGTTCATTAACTGACATAATCATCAGTTATTCAGAATGTGAATTATCAGGATATTATCTTATTCGGACAGTTTTCAGAAGCTGTACGTAATCAGAAGGGTATTCAGAATCCTTTACATCCATGTCGATTGATCGGATAATCGAACAACTTGAGAACGAAGATTCAGAACCTTAACAATCTATGTCGACTGGTCAATTCATTTTTCTTCTAGGGTATTTACTCTTTAATACCACAAATTCTTGTCCGTAGACCATTTTCGGAATTATCACTGAATAAATCTTCCAATGACTTTATTTCATTTCCACGCTTCCACAATATCATGAAATATTGACGTACTTGATTAATTTGTTCATAACCCATTGTAATTGTACACTACGTAAACTCATCAGAGTTTCCAGACTTATCCAAATCACTTACTAAATCCTCAGTCATTGAGGTTACCTATTTCATTTAGCAATCATCTCCATTCCAGTTACTTCAGAATTTTCCAGAGTAATTCAAACGTTCCTGAATTTCAGATACATGTTGTACTTCCATCCCATTCAATTTGGTCTTCGTGGTTGATTGTTGAACAAACGTCCAATTCTTAGTACTGAATACGATCTAGATCTGAGCTGAACTGAATACTTCCAAGATTCGTCATCGAGCCAAACTTGAGAAGACGAACACATGTTCTAGAAATATCTATGTCATTCAGGTATTGACATAGCTTTAATGTTGATCTATTCACTTAAATTGTTTTCCATTACCTTTAAAGGTAGTCCAATACCTATGCTTACTTGGATTCCTTAATTAATCCAAGACATTTACTTAATTTAGGCCATAAGGGTATTTTGGTAATTTTGATGTTTAGTTTTGTTCCATTCATTTCAGAACTCGAGGATATTCAATCATTCCTGAGCTTGGTGATATTCTTGGGTCATTTCCATTACAGGGGTATTTTGGTCATTTTACAGATCTACGGTATTTAAATCTTTTCCTTCCATCCGATCTTATTATTTAATTCAATCTTATCATTTACTTCAGTCTTTTCGAACAATTCTGACAGCAGAATACCCCCGATAAATTATTCTTCAGGTATTTACTCATTTCTCGGATATTTTCGGGTCAAGTGTCTTCTCAGATTTTACAAACGAAATATCATGAATTTTCCTGCATTAAGTCAGGATCTTAACAATCAAATCTGTACTTAATCGAGTTAAGTACGAATCCTCTAAGTATTTTCTCATTCAGGGTTAACTCAGACTATTCTATCTCTTAAGGGCATTTCTATAATTTCTTAACCAGATAAGTTCGATATTAGCTCTTAACAAAAATAATATAATTTAGAGATCCTATGATTAATTGCTTTCTTGAACAATCTCTGATCTTGAAATAATTCCCTTAACACACTTCTAGTATCTTGCATAAACCTTCTTGGGGTTAAAAACCGGTTCTCCATAATTTCCAAGTAAAACTAACATTTCTTATGCACATCAATAGTTTTAGCAGATCAATAATTCTTTTCAGATTTATTAATCCACTTCCAGAGACAATTCTTGTCAATTTCCAATATAAGGGTAATTTCGTATTTTTACCATACCGAAGTATTCTCATAATTTTCCATCCAAGTACCTTTAACATTTAACCTTTGATGATATAAAATATAATTTACAAATCCATGTCTGATTTCTTTATCACTATTCACAAACTTGTAATTTAATTCTAACAATCTTTCAATCTCTTATATTAGTCATTCGATCCGTATTCAGTTACAGAATTTCTACCACATTCATATCGAGTGAATAACTTATTCAACTCCACAAAAGTGACCAACATTATCTTATTCATGCATTTACCAATATCAACATGTTCCATAAAGCATAAAGAGGTAGTAAAGTATTACCTCGATTTCTGTGCAATACTGATCGACCATAAAAATTCCATTCGAACGC